GAGACCATCTGATATCATACCCTTAAAGAAGACTGACGAAAAACAAATAAGTAAAACCTGGCAAGTGTGGGAGGGTGGCAAGAGCTATGGAGGAAAGGCAGGGGGTGCAAGTGGCGAGTTTTGGAGGAGAGGGGGTTTAAGAGGACTGCAGGGAAGGCCTCCTTGATTGTCATCTAAGGCACCACATGGAGATGAGGGAAGGAACCAGGCGGGTACCTGGGGAAGAACATTCCAGGCAAAAGGCAGTGTGCACTTGCACATCTCTGAGTCCTAGTGAGGAGGCCTGTGTGGCAGGGACAGAGTCAGCAAGCAGGGGAGAGAGAGGAGGTGAGGGCAGGGAGGGGACAGGGACAGGTCATGCAGGGCCTTGTGAGTCCTAGAGAGGACTTAGGCTTTTACCCCAAGGGAGGTGGGACCACTGGAGGTCTGTGGGCAGAAGAGGAGCAGGACCTGATTCAGGTGCTCACAAGTACCCCCTGGTGGCTGCCTCGGGAGAAAAGCCTGTTGGTTGGAGATGAGAGTGAACTCAGGGATATTAGAGCGGAGGCTGGCACAGCAACTCAGGGAAGAAGGAGGCTGCCTGGATTACCTAGGGTTGGGGCAGAGACAGTGGTAAGAAGTTGGGGGAATCTGGACATGCACACATAACATTTTTCATCGGCCCGAGGGTGACCAAGCCTGCAGTGCTGACAGCTCTCCACTGGGCAGATCCACGCTCAGATGCCAGAGCCCAAGGCCCATACTTGGGGGTCCATGTGGTTTCCAGCCGGGGCATCTGATCTCTGCTGTGTGTTGTTCCTTTTGTGCTGCATATACACCCATGCATGTGTACACACACACAAACACAATTCTCCTCCAATATGCCCTGGGGCTGAGGCCAGCCTTCCCAGGCCTAGGACCTTCCTGGATCATCTCGAGTGGCCCCACTCCTAATGGGAAAGACCCACCAGGACTGCTTTGCCCTGCTCTGGAGGGCTCTTGTCCTAGATGTCCCTGCAGAATGGTCCAACCCTGGGGATTAGCTGAAGGGAGGGTTAGCAGGCTCTATTCCCTCTTAATTCCATGCAGAGGGCACATTTCTCTTTTGAATGGGCAAGTTGGCTGAGTTGGACTGAATGTTGGTTTGCTTGCAGCCACTTTCCATGAAGAAGCAACAGGGTGGGCATGGGACGTGAGGCTTCTCATTTCCTGTTACTTAAAACTCTGGAGCCAAATTCTTGTCGGTAGGAACATGGTGGTACAATAATAATTGCTTTTCCACCTGTCTAGCCAGCTGGATGCTGGCTGAGTTCTAATCCTGCAAGTTCTTGTGTCCCCTTCCCTAAACTGGCTCCTGTCTTTCTTTTCACACCTGTGGAAAAGGCAGTCCAGAGAGATTAAGTGACTAGCCCAAGGTCACCCACCCCACAGCTTACTTGGGCCTCCAGGCTGCAGTGAAAGTTTGGGGGTTGATGGATCCCCAAGCCAAATGCCTGCCAGGATGCATGGGTCCCTATTCCTTAGCTGGAACAGCCCTGCTGTGAAGGATCAGACATAGGCAAGGGTATTGTGCTGTCTGCAGTGACTGTGTTTCTGGAAACCTGGAGCCACTGTTTGCTTCTGCACCAAGAAATGTGGTACCTTGGGCAAGGGGCTCTAGACAACTCTGACTCCACCCTGTTGTTAGCTGTCACATTTCTGAAGAACCTGGGGCACTGCTATGAAGGCTCTGCAGGTGGACGTGAGTGGCATGTGAGTCTTTGCTTGGTGGGCTGCCCTGCTCTGCCCCATGGAGCCGAACCTATATCCCTCCCCACCCTTACAGTGGTGCTCATCGGGGACTCGGGTGTGGGGAAGAGCAACCTGCTGTCCCGCTTTACCCGCAACGAATTCAACCTGGAGAGCAAGAGCACCATTGGTGTGGAGTTTGCCACCCGCAGTATCCAGGTGGACGGCAAGACCATCAAGGCGCAGATCTGGGACACCGCTGGCCAGGAACGCTACCGTGCCATCACCTCCGCGTGAGTGGCAGGGATGAGGAAATGTAGGTCTTGGACATAGGGCTAGTGGGCTCTGAAGGAGGGGTAGGAGTTGGGCAGGAGGAGAAGGGGAGAGCGCAACCCTGAGAGCATTTGGCCCAGGATGGAGGGATGAGACCCCCCGCCCCAGGAGTGGTGGGACCCTCGGAAGACCATTGCCCACTCTTGACCGCTCTGTGACCTCATGTGGGCACGTCCAATGGCTCCTCTGACCCCTGGAGTGGGCCATTCCACTCTGCCCACCCCTCAGTCCTGCCTGCTTGGCCTGCCCTGCCTGGCTATGTTCCAAGTCTTCCTCTTTCCTTGGCTCCCTATGGCCACCCAGCCATCAGGACCTACTGGAGCTGCCTCCTTCCAGACCCCTTGGCCATTTCCCCATTAGTCACACGCTTTCCTCTCAATGCCTTCCACTAAAGCCTGGTTACCTCTTCATCTCTTAAATCCCTCAGGGTGCATATGTGTCCATTAGTCTTCTTCTTTGGAGCTTTGCCTAGCAGCAGTCCTTTTCCTGCACAGGCAAGGTTTCCTTCTCCCTTTTTGTGGGTGTCTTCTGACCTCAGGCCCTTAACTCCCTCCTCAGGCCTCCACAGCCTTTTTATTTATTTATTTTCTTAATGTATATTTTTTATTTATTTCAGAGAGAAAGGGAGAGAGAAATTGAAATATGAATGGTTAGTGAAAATCATTGATCAGCTGCCTCCTGCACGCCTCCTACTGGGGACCAAGCCCACAGCCTGGGCATGTGTCCTTGACTGGAATAGAATCTAGGATCCTTCAGTCCACAGACCAACACTCTATCCACTGAGCCAAACTGGCTAAGATAGGCCCCCACAGTCTTGAGCTGAATCTGGGCACAGAGTCCTCTTGCAAGGCCATGAAGGTCGCCTCTCGGCTGGGCTCTGTGTGGGTCCAGGAACTGCTGCCCTCAGAGTCTTGGGGGGCGCTGGCAGGCAGCTCATTCCTGGGCCCTGCCCCCTGTCCCCACAGGTACTACCGAGGTGCAGTGGGTGCACTGCTGGTGTATGACATCGCCAAGCACCTGACATACGAGAATGTGGAACGCTGGCTGAAGGAGCTGAGGGACCATGCTGACAGTAACATCGTTATCATGCTGGTGGGCAACAAGAGTGACCTGCGCCACCTGCGGGCTGTGCCCACTGATGAGGCCCGAGCCTTCGCAGGTGAGCACCTACCAGTTGGTGAAGGGTTTCACTTAGGGTCAGGGCCCTCCTGCAGGGGCCAGCCCCTGAGAGCGGGACTTTGATTAAGGCATCCGTGAAGTTTCTGGAAAGCCACAGCCCCCTCCAGGTCCTTCCCATTTTCCCTGGCTATGAGCAAGGCCACAGTGCCATCCTCCCTTCTTCAAGGAGTGAGCATCTAAGTCCTACCCTCTTGGCCCCAGCCCTTCATTTCCTGGGCCAGGTGAGTGGGTAGGCACACGGGCCCCTAGGGGATACAGGAGAGCCCCCTGCTCACCTGGGCAATCTTCTCTCTGTTCCAGAGAAGAACAACTTGTCCTTCATTGAGACCTCAGCCTTGGACTCCACCAACGTAGAGGAAGCTTTCAAGAACATTCTCACAGGTTATCCCAGGGTCTGGTGGGGGCCACAGGAAACCCTAGCAGGCCCACCAAAGGTGGTGTGGGAAGGACACCAGCCACACTGGTTGCAAGCTTCAGAATGCAGCCCCTGACCCTTCATTCCTTAAACCTGCTGGTTAGTCTGGACAGGAGAACAGACATGGCAAGCTCTGTGAAGTCAGGCTAGATCCCACCTCTACTGGCACTTGGCTCCCAGCTCCATGGGTGAACCCATGGCTCCATCAGGGAACAGCCAAAGGGGACTGCAGATGGCCTCAGGCCAGAGCTCCTGGTTTTCTGGAAGTTTATTCTGAGGAGAAGGGGGTCTCTGATCTTTACGAAGAAGAGTCCTGGGGTGGGGAGGGTATCTCTGTGACCAGATGTAGGTTCTACCCTTGCTGAGTGCACAGGGGAGAACCCTTATGTCAGAGGTGCAGGTAGGCCACAGTGGGGGCCTTTGGGAGGGGCACAACCTTGGGGGTACTCCCTGGAAGAGGTGACATCCAGATGAGCCCTGCAGGGGGCCAATCACCACAGGCAAGAGTATGCAGGGCACTCACCTCACATCCCCCCATTGCAGAGATCTACCGCATCGTGTCACAGAAGCAAATTGCAGACCGCGCAGCCCATGATGAGTCCCCTGGTAACAACGTGGTGGACATCAGCGTGCCACCCACTACTGATGGACAGAAACCGAACAAGCTGCAGTGCTGCCAGAACCTGTGACTGCCCCGTGCCTCGTCCAAATATGCGTGCGTGCACATCTTCATCCTTCGCCTGCCCCTCATCATGATGTCTTCTCTGACCTGACCCTCTCTGTCCCTCTGTGACTGGCTCCTACCCCTCCACTGAGCTCTGCAAACAACTGGGGCTTAGGAAGAACAGGAGTCCAGCTGCACCATCTGTCCTCCCCCACCCCAGGGAAGCTTGAAACCTGGCTGCTGCACCTATTCTTCTTGGGTCCCAGTGGGCCTCTGGGTGGTGTGGGGAGGGTGGCAGGATGGACCAGGCCAGCCAGAGGCAAGAGGATGGGCACACCAAACAGGCTTCAGTTTTCCACAGCAGACTCCGGGGAGCAATTACCTCCCTTCCTCTCTGGCCAGTTGTCCCAGCTGGCCCTTCAGGGTAGGGGGGTCCCTACCCAGAACCCCCCTCTGGGCTGAAGTCTGAAGAACAAGTGACCAGGGGACTGGGTCAGGCAGACAGGCTCCAGCATCCTACTACCCAATACAGTCAGCACGCCTTTGACCTCAGCCTCTCCTGTGCGTGCGTGAATCCAGCTCCTGCCTGTAGATTTTTGCTGGGAGAAGACCTCCCCCCCTTTCCGCACGCAGCACACTCCCCACCCCTCCCTGTGCCCTTCTATCTGTCTTGTCTCCCTGTCTGGTCAGGAACTGTTTGCA